TTTTAAAAAAAGTGCTGAGTTTTTTTTGCTTTTTGACTTAGATATTCATTGTTTTTATTGCATGTAAAAACATGGGTTTGATCCTCTGTATGATGTTCATATCTAGGACATTTGGTATTTGGGTAGAGTAATGGGTATCGTAGCTGAACGTATATAAAAAAAAATCTTAATTTTTAGAATGGTCCTAGAAAAAGATGGAAACTAAGGATGATAATGAAATTTCCCACAGGATATTGACAAAGTTGAACGGATAATGAACAAATGAAGGATAAAAAAAAGGAGCATATAATAGAATGCTCAAGTAATTGAAGTAGCAAAATCAATCGCTCAACCATTTAATTAACATTTCTTCAAGCTGTGCCATCTTTAACGGTTTCGCGAGGTAGTCATTCATTCCCGATTCAAGACATTTTTCCTTTGAACCCTGAACAGCCTCGGCTGTTAGAGCAATAATTGGTATTTGTGACAAAGGAGAGTTCATTGCCCTTATAATTTTTGAAGCCTCAAACCCCGACATTATTGGCTGTAATAATGTACGAAAGTAGAAATTCGATGGATGATTAAACCATATACAGCAGATTATAATATTCATATACCGTATACTGTATTTACTAACCATCGCACAGTCCATCAAGATTAAAGAGATTTCGGCATGATGGTTTGAGGGCGAGTCGGTTGAAGATGAACTTGGATCGGTTAATTTATTAGCAGACTCGGTCACTAAGTTTACGGCCTCTTGCCCGTTTGTCGCGACTAAGGCTTGATATCCGAGTCTCGATAGCTGATGTTGTATGACCTTTAGGTTTATAGGATTATCTTCCTATAGATAATGTACAGAGTGTAAACCAATAACGCAAGAACGATTATTAAACTGCCTACTTCATGGAGAAATTTCTAAATCGAATAATGATGTTATATCGCAGGCGGATTTGAGCGTAGGGAAATATAGCAACCATAAGGATTTACGGTCAAACGATGCTGAAGAATCATCATTATATAGTGATGAAAAATCATCAACGAGAACAGTTTTAAA